TTCTGATTGTATAGTACTTTAAAAATGAAAAGTATTCACCTTTCTTTGCATGTTTCATTTTTAAAATGGGCTTAATCCCAACTTCATAAGGTTTTGTGAGGATTAAATCAGTTAATACCACACAGTACTTTGAATAATACCTGACAAAGTAGCACTCACTGTTTTTACTTGTTAATCACGTAACAAGTGTAAGCTATTACTATTTATTAGGTATAGTGCTAAGCTCTGGAGAGTGTTTGCCATCAAGGAACTCAAGGTTAGGAGAGACAAGTCTACAAATAATTATCACAGCGATTAAATGCAAAAATAGAATTATGTCCAAGTAAGGATGTAGGCAGGCAGTGTTTCATTCACAGAGTGATGCAAATGAAAACTCTAGCAAGGGGAGTGTGAGCTCCAGAAGAACATTTCAAGTGGAAAGAACAGTGTGTGAAAAGGCATGGAGATTGAGAAAGAGAGCAGCCTGTTTTGTGATTATAGGTAACTATAGTTCATTACTAAGGGTATAAAGTCAAGGAGGTAATATTAGAACATGAGGTTCTTATATGGTCACATTAATAAATCCATCTTATTTAGAAGATGAACTTAGGATCCAGAAGTTAGCACCAATACAGAATTATTAATAGGGTTGGTGATATGACAATAAATATAATAATTCCATCTTAATGAAGTTGCTTCTATTGTATACCCAGTACTGTGCAATAGTTTTCCTCAGAGGAGCGGGAGGCCCTGCATATAGATTTGTAATACAGTTTATGCTATACAGTAAGGATTTTATAAACTTCACTCAGACATTAAGCTACTTGATAAACATGGAGAAAGAAGCAGAAGTAGCAATTGAAAGAATAGGAAAAGAAATGCAAAATGAATTATAAAGTTAGAAGTGTGTGTAATATGTCAACCAAAATACAGTCTTTTTGTTTTTTAGTTTCTAGAGACTTTTCTATCGGAACATTCAAAATTCTGGCTGTAACCAGTAATGGGCATATAACAAAATACAACTATAACGTTCTATTATTTAAAACAGTAAAATTATATTTTAAGTGTTTGTATTTTATTACTTAGCAGGATTCATTATTCATCTAACTCAATCTGTTTTACATACTAGAAAATAGGCTATCTTCTGCCAGTAAAAGAAGTAAAACTCAAGCCAATGCTTTCTCCAATGTATCATACTATCTTTCTTACTAGAAACTTAAAAACGGAATGTTGGCCCTGGCTGGGTGGCTCAGTTGGTTGGAGCATTGTCCAGTACACCAAAGGTTGTGGGTTCCATTCCCAGTCAGGGCACATACTAGGTTGTGGGCTTGATCCGTAGTTGGGGGACATACAGGAGGCAACTGATTGATATTTTCGATGTTGTTGTTGTCCATCCTGCCCCCCTCCGCCCCAAATCAATAAAAACATATCCTCGGGTAAGGATTTAAAAATGGAATGTAAATAATAGCCTGCTAATATAAGCACTGCCATAAATTTTTTTTTTTTTTTTGCTTTTCTACATTCTTAGCTTCTAAGTAATTTCTTAGTGTGTGTTTCTTAAGAATAGGGTTATTCTCTTACAGAATCACAGTAAAGTTATTAACTTAAGTAAACTTAACATCGTTACATTTACTTATTTAAAATCATTTTTTACTTTCAGTTACAGTTGACATACATTATTATATTGGTTTCAGGTGTACACCCCAGTGACCAGACATTACATCACTTAATAAGTGATCATCCCAATAAATCTGGCACCCATCCAGCACCACACCTAGTTGTTAGAATATTATTAACTCTATTCCCTATGCTGTACTTTACATCCCCATGACTATTCTGTAACAACCAGTTTGTACTTAATCCTTTCACCATTTTCCGTTACATTTACTTTATCTCATCTACTATCCTTGTTCCCATTATGTCAGTTGACCCAAAAATGACCATTTTAGCATTTATCTCTCTTCAGTGCAAGATCAGTCTAAGGTCAGATAGTACAGTCTTGCTTTTCTGTAGCCCCTTTAAATCTAGAGCATCCCCACAGGTATCCTCCATCCTTTTTGTCTTTCACTTGCATTATTTATAGCCCATTTTTTAAAGTTTAAGAGAAGTTAGTATTATCTTTTGTTGACATCCTAGTGTAAGCAAAAAATGATTCCTTTTTCATCTCTTGATAATGGTGTATTACATTAATTGATTTTTGAATGTTAAACCAACTTTGCATTCCTGAACTAAATCACATTTGGTTATGGTGTATAATCTTTTTATGTTGGGAGATTTCAGTTTGCTAGTATTTTGTTGGAGTTGTGTATCTATATTTAGAAGAAATATTGAGCTATAGTTTTCTAGTGCTATTTATTGTCTTTGTTTGGTTTTGGTGTAGTGGGGTAGTTAACTGGCTTAAAAAATGAGTTGAGAAGTGCTTCTCCTCTTTACTTTTTGGAAGAGTTTGTGAAGAATTTGTATTAACTCTTCTCTAAATGTTTGGTAGAATTTACCAGTGAAGTCATTTGGGCATAGGCTTTTCTTTGACAATAGTTTGTTTACTAATTCAGTGTCTTGTCTTGTTATATGACTCTTCAGCTTTTCTTTTTCTTCTTGTCAATTTTGATAGTTTGTGCTTCTAGGTATTTATCTATTTCATCTAAATTGTTCGATTTACTTGTATACAGTTTATAAAATTCCTTTATAACCCTTTTTATTTCTGTAACATAGGTAGTAATATATCCCCTCTTTGTTCCTGATTTTAGTAATTTATCCTTCATTTTTCCTTGATCAGTTGTAGCTAAAGATTTGCCAATTTTGATGATCTTTTCAAAGAACCAGCTTTTGGTTTCGTTGACTTATCTGTTCTCTACTGTATTAATTTCCACTTTGATACTTGTTTTCTTCTGGCTTGCTTTAGGTACAGTTTACTTTTTCCAGTGTCTTAAGGTAGAAGGTTAGGGTATTGATTTGAGGTATCTTTTAATATAGGCATTTACAGGTATTTCCCTCTAAGCACTGCTTTCATTGCATCTCATAAGTTTTGGTACTTTAGGTAGTCTTTTTCATTCATCTCAAAGTATTTTCTAATTTCCCTTGTGATTTCTTCTTTGACCCAGATTTCTTTGTTTTAAAAAAGTTGTTAAAAGCATCTAAATATTTGAAAGTCTTACTGAGGACCTTAATTGTAGGAGATTGGAGAACAGGAATTTATTGAACCTGACCTTACTCTTCTTGACGTGATTCTAATCCTGTATATCCTTTTCTGTCCCCCTTATGTTCTCCCTAAAAATAATCTTCAAAGGAAGCATTGTAGGGGAAAAGTAATCACTGGGGCAGCCAGCCATTGGAGAGTGTTGAGAAGGTTAGCGGATCCTGGTGAGCCACCTTGTTGGGTGTAATTAATGGAATGAGATAATTAGTTAAGTAAGCTTTAAGTTTTTGTATGTTGTTTTTTTTTTTTTTTAATTGATTTGAGAGAGAGAGGAAGGGGGAGAGAGAAACATTGATGAGAGAGAAACATCAGTCGGCTGTCTCCTGCCTGGGGTTCAAGCCAGCAACCTGGGCATGTGCCCTGACTGGGAATTGAACTCTGGTGACCTGTTGGTGCATGGAATGACGCTCAGTCCCCTGAGCCACACAGACCAGGCTAGTAAACTTGAAGATTTGGCAAAAGTTAATACATTACAGACTAGAATTAGGTTTAGAAGGACTTATAATCTGTGAAGTTCAGTCTCCATCCCATATAGGTGTTTTTTCTAAATATCTTTTGACAGATGCTTATCTAGTTTACACTTCATTTCTAAGGTTAATATTTATGTGTGCATTAGATAGAAATTATAGTGAATCTATTCATCTAATTGTAGAGAATCTGAGAAAAGTACCAAGGCAGTAATACTGGAATCTCAGAACATTTCAGCACAATCTAACAGTAGATGGAATCTAATAAGGTAACAGTTTTTTTAGAGAGAATACATTTGAGGCCTTAAACAAGGGTACCCCCCCAAAGGTACCAAATCCCCACACACAATTTGTGTGGGGCAGGTGGAGAGGGAGTTTGCCTAAGGCTATGCCTTAGAAAGTGTTTATAGAGTTTTAGTTGACCATAAGTTCTATCTAAATTGATGGTGTGGTGTGGCCTCCAAAAAAAAAAGTTAATGATCTTAGACTGCATTCTAATTTAAATACTCACATGTGAGGCTATTGGACACTATATTGGAAGCTCAATTCAAGATGGTTTCATACTGCCTTTTTACTCTATATGCTATTTGTATTTCTGAATCATGAGAATGTATTAATTAATAAAAATTGAATTTAAAAAAAGATGGTTTCATACTTAAGGTGATGGCTTCATACTGATTAAGTGGGAATGGGTGGGATTTAATTTAATTGATGTAACTTTTTTTAATGAAGAAAAAGGTTAGCAACCCTTCATTAGATTTTTAAGAAGACTATTTTGGACAAATACTAAGAATTCCTAGTATAAAAAGCTCATGACTTAAAATTTTTTGACACAGTTAATATATTTTGATCAGAGTCTAGGGGGTTCTTTCAATTATAAGGCCATGTTTTCTCTTTATAACTGAGTTTCCAATTTAAAGTGAGAATGTGTTAAGATAACTATTATTGTAATATTTTTGTTTGTTAATCTTCACCCAGTGATATTTTTTCCATTGATTTTTTTCTTTTTTAGAGAGAGAGGGAGGGAGGGAGGAGGAGAGAAACAGAGAGAGAGAAACATTAATGTGAGAGAGAGACATCAGATTGGTTGCCTCCCACACATGACCCAACTGGGGCTGGGGATTGAACCTGCAACCCAGGTGCCCTTAACCGGGAATCAAACCCATGATCCTTTGGTGAGCGGGCCAACACTCTAACTACTGAGCCACACCAGCGCCAGGGCATAACATTTTAATATATGCCATTTTAAAGACCTATAAAGTCCTATACTACCTCATAATATTCTTATTTTGTTTTATGAATTGCTTAATAAGAACCAACATATTCATACAATGCTATACTTATTCTTTAATTACATAAAGAGCATTGTCTTATATTTGATTTTATAGGTAGCTACATCAAGCTGGGAGGCAGGCAGATTCAAAGGATATCATGAAGTTTCCAGGGCCTTTGGAAAACCAGAGATTGTCTTTCCTTTTGGAAAAGGCAATCTCTAGGGAAGCTCAGATGTGGAAGGTAAACGTGCCGAAAATGCCTACAAACCAGGTAATGATTTTTCTCTTTACTCTAGATAGATGACTTTTATTAGAAATAAGTATATTACTCTCCTATATAGTATCTTGACATGCATTGGAGAAATATGTACCATTAAAGGATATGCTCTGTTCTTTATTTTAGAAATATCTCCTTGTTTCATTCTGAAACAAAACAAGAATGAACTGTTTTTGTTTGCTTGCTTGTTTTGTTTTTATCTCAGTTACAGCTTTAGGAAGATAAAGTATGTCTGTTTTCTCTGCTTATAGTCAATACTAATAGTAGTAAGCTGCCTTTATTTCTAGATACATAGTTAGCCATGGAAGCTGAGTATATATCATTGTCTTTGGGGAAGAAAAACTTGCAGTATACTTCTTGAATATTTATAAGGAGTTCAAGTAAACTACTAAGGTAATACAATGTTGGAAACTTCTAGGGAGATAGCAGCTGGCCTCTCAATTACTGATGGTTATATGCCTTTTTCTTTTTTATTTTATTTTTTAATTTAAAAAAATTTTTTTTTTTATTTCAGAGAGAGGAAGGAGGAGAGAGAGAGCTAGAAACATCAATGATGAGAGAGTCATTGATTGGCTGCCTCCTGCATGCCCCCTGCTGGGGATTGAGCCTGCAACCCGGGCATGTGCCCTGACCGGGAATTGAACCGAGATCTCCTGGATCCTAGGTCAATGCTCAACCACTGAACCATGCCCAGCTGGGCTATGCCTTTTCTTTTTTCTTTTTTTTTTTTTTTTTTGGATTTTTTAAACTTTATGGTTGATGCTATTACGGATGTCCCCATTGCCCACCTCCACCCAGCCCTCCCCCCTTCTGGCCATCACCACACTGTTGTCTGTATCTATGTGTCACGCATGTATGTTCTTTAGCTAATCCTTTCATCTTCTTTCATCCAGCCTCCCCCTTCCCCCTCCCCTCTGACAACTGTCAGTCTGTTCCATGGAGCCATGCCTCCGTTTCTAATTTGGTCATCAGTTTATTTTGTTCATTAGATTCCACATATAAGTGGGATCATATGGTATTTGTCTTTCTCTGGCTGGCTTATTTCACTTAGCATAATACTCTCCAGGTCCATCTATGCTGTCGATAAAGGTAAGTTTTCCTTTTTTTACCACCATATAGTATTATATTGTGAAAATGTACTACAGCTTTTTTTATCCACTCATATACTGATGGACACTCAGGCTGTTTCCAGATCTTGGCTCTCATAAATAATGAGAGCTGAGTCAAAAGGCAGCTCCAATTTTTTGAGGAAACTCCATGCTGTTTTCCATAGTAGCTGCACCAGTCTAATTCCCACCAACAGTGTACCAGGGTTCCCTTTTCTCCACACCCTCACCAGCACTTGTTGTTTGTTGATTTATTGATGGTAGCCATTCTGACAGGTGTGAGGTGACATCTCATTGTGGTTTTAATGTGCATCTCTCTGATGATTAGTGATGATGAGCATTTTTTCATATGTCTATTGGCCGTCTGTATGTCCTCTTTGGAGAATTATCTATTCAGGTCCTTTGCTCATCTCTTAATAGGATTATTTAACCTGCCTGAAATTGGGGCAAGAGGTAGAAGGACAATTTTCTCCCAGGCAGGAGAGCTGGCAGAGGCCATTGCTCCTTTGGCGAGTCTTCCCCGCACATAGCCGGCAGGCAGGTGCCATATTTGAATCTCTGCCTTTTCTTTTTAAAAATTTTATACTTCTATCCTATAATTGCATCAGAGTTATTTTTTTTACAAATAACTGTGAAGTTTATTCACTCCAAAAACTTTCTATATGAGATGTCTTATACATCTTTTTACCCCTGGTAACTAGTATTGTGCTTGGGATAAAGAATACTGGCCAAGAAAATTTTGGTATGTGTATATGTGTAGGTGAATGAATAGTATATATCTAAGCTCCTCCGGTGTTGGTTTAGGTCAGCGATTTTCAGCCAGTTATAGGTTAACCTTTGCTCATAGGTTATTAAAATCTATATGCCTTTTTAATTCCAACCGGCTTCTATTATTATTCTTTCCCACAAGCTGAAGAAATACATTTTGCATTTACTGTTACTTATCATTTAGCAAATTGAAGATTAGTTTACTTGAATTAATACCTTTTATGTTAGGAGCATTTACATGTGCTATCACATTTAATATCTCAATCTTTTGAAATAAGCAGTAGTCCCAATTTGTTCAAGACTAGCTAATAAGTAGTAGAGTTATACTTTGGATCTGAGGCAGTTTTCTTTCTGTTTTTATTTTTATTTTCCATTTTTGTGTGCTTATGTGATTTTTAGTTTACCTTGGGGTTCAGTTTATTATATAACTGCTACATTCTGAGCACTATTCCTGGCATTTGGGATGCAATAGTGAGATAAGTAGAAATTCCTGCCCATTCTAGTAAGCCTCAAAGCTTTATTACAGCTGCCTTTAAGAACTATTCTTCCTTCTGCTGTCTTCTTGAGTCAGCACGTAACCAACAATGACATACTTTTACAACATGATCTTTGAAAGTGATATCCTACAAAGATCGTAGTATGTTGTTATATTGTCCGTTAATCTGGCCTATTTCTATAGGTAATTTGACAAATATTACTGAGGTGATACCAGAAAACAATAGTATCAGAACTTCTGAGAGGGATTTACTTAAGAAATTTCCTTTAGTAATGCCAAGTCCCAGTCATACTTAATTCTTGTAAAATATGGTTGGGCTTGGTCTGGTGGAGTTGGAGATATAATAGGGAGGGGAGTAAAGAGCTATAGGGGCTTGAGTTGCTTGCTAGAGTAACTCCCAAGATTACTTCTCTGTTCTAATACTAATTCCTTTTTCTTCTGCCACTCTCAGGGACTGGCTTCTCTGCCTCCCCTTACATTGTTGCTTCTAACGATGATTTCCCTTCTTGATTCCTTGCATGAGATAAACAGTCTTGTCTCTAAACTATACATGTATGTTTTCCAACTTTTCTATTTTTTTCTTTTTATGTGCTGGTAAAAATGGAAAAATAAAATATTTTAAAGCTTCCTTTTATGCATCTTTTCTCCAATTCCCTTCTACCTTACTCTTCCTCCACCTAAATCCTACCTACTTCAAGGTTCTCTCACAGTTCTCTTAATTTGCATCTCCTATCCCCTAGTTTAGGACACAGTGGCCACACAAGAATGTTATAGAGTTATTACTCCCCTTCTGTGTGCTCTCATAGCACTCTACTTTCCTTATGAGATAATACAATTTCCGGGTGATTTGACTGAGTTCTCTTGAGGTAGAATTGTATTACTTTTATTTACTGGCATATAATAGGCTCACAGTAAACATTCATAAAATGAACGTTGATGATCATTTCTTTATAATTCATCCAGGTTAGAGACGTTCTTTTATATAATAATAGCACTTTCAAGTATATGATAATTTTGACATGACTTTTGGGGGGGAAAAATTGAAGATTGGTCAAAGTGACATGCACTTTTAGATATTCTCTATTTTTTTCGAAAGTGCTCTTCACATACAAAGATAAAACAGCTTCAAGCTGTTTATATAAAGATGGTTTTCATTATTTTGGAACCCTAAGGAATCTTAAAGGCCATCTAATTATGTGGTTTTTAAATACAGGATCTCAAACCACTGGGCTACTAGGCAAATCAGGATCATTTAGGAGGCTTCTTACAACGCTCCCAGGCCCCACCCACACCCACTGGGTTTGTGGTGGCAACTGTGGAAATTTGTATTTTTAAAAGCTTCATAGTTTTATTAATATGCATTCAGTTTGGGAAACACTGGTTCAGTCTAACGTAATTTAAAAGTTCTAAATTTAAAAGTTCTAACATTTCTGATAAGTGATCCTCGGCTTTGGATATTTGTTCATTCCACTGCTGAAAAACTATATAAATTATTGGAAAGTTTTTCTTAACTTTATTCACAATATTGTCTTAAATTGAATCTTAAAACTGCTTCTTTCTAGTGGCCACCTAGATTGGTTCTAGTTCTGGCCACTGGAGCAATATAGAATAGAGCTATTTCTTATTTTAAACTATAGCCCTTTCGTTAAAGACTGGTGTTAAACCCATAAAGTCATCTCTTTTCCTGATTGAACATCCCTTCCTGCTTAACCATTTTTTGTTTGATATGATTACCCTTTTACCGTTCCAGTTTTTCTTTTTCTAGATACATTCTTTATAATGTGTTATATTGAGACATTTCAGTTGTCATTAATGAGCAATAAAGTAAAACTATTACCTCACTTTGTCTTGGATTGATTATTTCATTAATCTAACCCTAAATTTGGGGGTGCGGTTGTTTTGGCAGCAATGTCATGTTGTTGGGTTATATTGAACTTGTTTTTAAAACCTTGTTCTTTTTGTCTCAACTTTTAAGCAAAGTTTCCCTATGCTAGATGTACATTTTTAGTTTTTAACTTAGGTGCAGCATTTCTTATTTGTTCTTATTAAATTTAAAATTGTTTATTCTGGCCCTGGCTGATGTGGCTCAGTTGGTTGAACATTGTCCCATGCACCTAGAGGTCCCCTATTCAGGGCACATGCCTGGATTGCAGGCTTGATCCCTGTAGGGGGCGTGTAGGAGACAGCTGATCGATGTTTCTCTCATTGATGTTTCTCTCCTTCCCTCCCTCCTCCTTCCTCCCTCGCTAAAATCAATAAAAAACATTTAAATAAATAAATTATTCTGTTTATTCTGGCCCATTTTTCTGGCTTTAAAATTATATTTGTTATCTAATATATATTGCCTGTGATTTTTGTACCATTTGCGGACTTGGTAAGATTTCATGTACATATAATCATAGAGTATGTACTGTCCTCCTTTGCTCAGTTTCTTTTGTGTGTAAAGATTCATTCATGTAACTTCCTGTAGCCATAAATTAATTTATTCTCATTGTCATGTATTCTATTGTATGAATTTATCTGTTCTATTGATAGTCATTAGAGTCGTTTTCTTATGCATATCTCTTAGTGAACATATATGTAAATTTCTGTTGAGTATATTCCTAGGGGTGGAATTGCTAGAACCTAGAATATGTACCTACTCAGGTTTAGTAGGTACCACTAACCGTATTTCCAAAGTTGTTATACCACTATTGACCACTTTCTTATTTACCCCTTCCAGAAGAGGATGAAGGTCCTGAGTTGCTCTACATCTTTGTCAACACTTGGTACTGTCTTTTTCATTTTAGTTATTCTGATGCGTGTGTTACAGTATCACTTTGGGTTTTAATTTTCATTTCCTTCATAACTAAAGAAGTTCAGTAGTTTTTCATGTGTTTTTTAGCCATTAGATATCTTTTGTGTGTGTGTGTGAAATGTCCATATCTTTTACATGGGTTTCTATGGAGTTCTCTGTTAACTGTTTGTATAGTTGTTCTTTTGTAGGCTCTGTATATTACACATATCTTCAGCTCTATTTGGGTTGACTTTTTTCTTTAATCCTCACCCTGGGATATTTTTTCCATTGCTTTTTCAGAGAGACAGACAGACATCAATGTAAGAGAGACACATTGAGTGGTTGCCTCCCGCTGGCACCCGACTGGGGCCTCTTTGTTTCTTTTTGATTCATGGAATTGTATCACTAAATACCACCCAACACCTTGATTTTATTTGTAAGTGGAGGAACTTAGCAATAGGTTATTGCTTCCTCTTTGACATTACTGTTCTTCAGAGTAAAGTTCACGTGGCTCTTTTCCTTGCCTTGCAACCGATCATTCCCTCCCCTCACTTTTTCCCTTTTAATATACCACTAAGTTGCTGTCTTTTCTAAGAAGCTTTCACTCTACTCCCACACTGGGCCAGGTTCCCCTTCCAGTCTGTACCCCTAGTTCCCTGTATATATCTCTTAAACATTTACCGTAGTTTTTTTTCACATTTCCTGATTGTTTGCCTTACCATGAGACTTTAAGTTTTGAAGTTTAAACAAACTTTCATTCATTATTGTATTTCCAGGACTTATGATAGACACTTAACTGTTTATTAATATGAACTGAATTAAATGTCAATTGGTAGATGTTTTCATATTGTTGTTCATTGTTTTAACACCAGCTTGATGGTGAGATGTTACTGTAAGAGGTTATAAACCATCTTTTTTTTTTTTTTTAATATATCTTTATTGATTTCAGAGAGAGGAAAGGAGAGGGAGAGAGAGAGAGATAGAAACATCAATGATGAGAGAGTCATTGATCGAGCCCACAACCCGGGCATGTGCCCTGACCAGGAATCAAACCCCGATCGCCTGGATCCTAGGTCGAAGCTCAACCGCTGAGCCACGCCCGGCTGGGCTGTAAACCATCTTTATCTCATATTCTTGTCAGTATTGTGCCGTATTCTAAGATCAGTCTTTTAAAATATTTATTTATTGATTTTAGAGAGGGAGAGAAACATCTATTTGTCATTCCACTTATTCATGCATTCATTGGTTGCTCCTTGTATGTGCCCTGACGGGGGGGTTGAACCTGCAGCCTTGGTGTATAGGGACGATGCTGTAACCAATTGAGTTACGCAGCCAGGGCTCTAAGATCAGTCTCTATCTGATAAAGAAATTGACCAGAAGGTGGGTGTATGGTGATTAACCTTCTATAAAATACGAGTTATAACCGAGTTTAGACCTAGATGTAAAAATCGTACATGTGAGATTAGTTTTGGTTTTGCTGATATAAAGAAACACTTTACTTTGTAATGCTAAAGCTGAAAAGTGACAGAAAAAGGAGTCAGAATAAAATAAGAGAAATTAGCTAGTGTAATGGGAGAGATTATAATGATCACCGAGTCATCTATTCTTTATAACACTAAAGAAATCCAAAAGGAAAGAGAAGAAATTCCAACTGAAATACCTGTTTGAGGAGATATGTTGTCAAGATATACAGCCCTTTGTGTTTTAAAAGCTCTTAATGTCCCTTATGCTTTAGTAGCTCTTAATTTCCAACTGGGAGTTGAACCCACCAACCTATTGTGCGGGACGATGCTCCAACCATCTGAGCCACTGGCCAGGGCTAGCTTTGTTTCTAATGGTCTATCATTCTGTTATCATAGTCTGTTTATATTTCCTAAGATAGTTTAATGCCTGTTTGCTGTCTTAGAAATTCACTATATTTTCTTATTTTCAAGAACTGGCAAAAACTTAATTTCAAAATTACTATCAGTTGATAACAGGGTTACCTAAACTTTTAAATGTTGTATTATCTGAACACCTCAATTTAATTATAGATAGGTGGTGAGATGAAATAATGAAGATTTTATTTAATAAAGAATGAGAATATTAGATATTGATGTTAAATGCTATAATCAGTACATAAAGTTTTATCTTCATTTATGTCATTTGCTAGATTTTGAATAAACTTAAAAACATTTTTTAAAATATAAACACTATTCCATAGCATTTGCTAACCTTTTATAAGAGACTTCTAAATATATTCTTGATGATAACTTGAAACTTTACTTGTTTTATTTTATTTTAATTTTATGTTTTAATTTTTCCCCTATAGAATGTTTCTCCATCCCAGAGAGATGAAGTGATTCAGTGGCTGGCCAAACTCAAGTACCAGTTCAACCTTTACCCAGAAACATTTGCTCTGGCTAGCAGTCTTTTGGACAGGTTTTTAGCTACTGTAAAGGTAATTAATTATTTTAGTATACACTTAAACACAACCTTGTTTGAGGGTTTATATGCTAAACTAGGGGCTATTAGTAAACATTCTATATGATGGAAAGGAATTGGAAGACCTTTGTGGACATGATATGTCTACCTATAAGAAGACATGGTGTCTTCTGTTGCTTTAAATTTTCAGAAATGTTTAACTGTATTGTATAATTTTTTTTTTGCTATAAGTATTCCTAATTTATACTTAACCTATGAAATTTTTGATCTCCTGATTTTAATACAAACCACATAGCATTGGCAGAATGTTTAGTTGTCTTTTAACACATTGGTGGTGTACTAATGTGGACAGTGAATCAAACTAGAGAAGTATAAGCCTATTGCACATTTTTCTCTTCCACTTCTTGTTTGTTGCATATTGTATGGCTTTCTGAACAGTATGTACTTTCTGGAGGTATACATTTGGAGCATAACAAGATGAACTGAACTGTGAGGAAGTACCTTGTATTTTTGTTGAATGGCAGCATACAAATATATGAATGAGTTTTATATTGTCCCTGCTGGTGTATCTTTGGTTATATTATGCAAAATCAGTCATAGTGGGCCCTTAACAGATTTAAAGCAGAAAGGTAGCATTTATTTAATGGCAAGGCATATAAAAGTAAAAAAGCAGTTCAGTTGTTATTTGTATGTCTAGGAATATGTAAGCTGGGGGAACTATGAATTCAGTACTGAGGGTTCTATACTTTTTCCTATTAGGTATAAAATATAGAAGCCATAGGATTTGGATGGCTATTCAGTTACCTTTTTATGTTTCAAACTAATACTCTTGAGAGACTTAAAAAATGCTTAAATATAATAATACTAATTGCCTGAAATCTGAGATGCCTACTTTTATCTCAGTATAAAGTCTCCCATCCCTCCACCTTAGCTCCCTACAACAATTAACCTCCGTTTCACAGAGAAAGATACGTTTAAAGCTCAGTGTCCTTTCTTGGGTTGTATATTCTTCAAAAATTATTGTGCTTCTATTATAGAAAAGATTATTACTGACCTTATTATTAAACATTTTAAACTGATTTGGGTGTCTAAAACAATTAGAGAATTTTGCAAAGTATAGTCTCATTTTTTTCATATTATTTAATGGGTCCTATGTTATTAGCATCAGATATAGTACTGTTATTTATTTAGGATGGCTAATCTATATTGAAACCATCTAAAATGTATTCATAGTTTAAATAAAGGCACTTAAACTATACCATAAAAGGGCTACAACAATGAATGGCGCCTTCATCCTAGCTGTGCAGAATGAAGTACTATGAAGCTCTTTAAAAGTATAGACCCTAAGTCCCCTCCCAAACTTAATGATTCTGAATCTCTAGTAGGTGAGTTCTGTATGTTTTTACTTAAAGACTACATCCTGGATGTACATCCATGACTGAGAACTGCTATTTGTTTAAAAATAAAATCACACATTTGCTGCTGGGATTCTTTTTATTACTAAATTTATTATTGGTGTCCTTGATTTAGGGGTTGCATTGCCTACCCAAAGTTATTAACTGTCGGGATCTTTTCTTTATAGTGAACTCTGATTACCTCATGGATGTGGGTTTGATATGTTATATACATGGGGAAATAAGGAAGCCTGGAAATCTATCTTAGCAACAAGATCTGACTCATTCCTAGATCACTCATGTGGTGTCCCTTAAATAAAAAGAAGGTGTATTAGGCATGACAGTATTTATAGAAGTACTTTCTGAGCTGTATTAACTGATTAGTGATTATTTTAAAAAATTTATAGAACCAGCTTTTATCTCATACAGACAGAGGATTCTAAGATTCCTAAACATATAACACTTGTACTGAGGCAGTGGTCGTTGGCATGCTTGTTAAATAAGTTAATCAGTGCTGTACTCTGGTCATCAGAAGGCTTCCCCAATTTCATGGGAATGAATATAATATTTAAGTGTAAAATACATGTTGACATAGGTTTTCTTTGTGTTGTATAACTTACCTCTGTGTCATTCAATATAATTGAACTAAATTGTTTTGGTTATTAAACTAGATTCCGATGCTGGATTGCAAACCCTTATTCTACCAGTAAGGTGAAGAGAGGACCAACTTGATTATAGATACTGAGAACAGGCAAATTCGAGCCCAACTATCGGTTTCAAACCTAAGAACTTTCTTTTTTTACCCACTAATTGATTCTGTGTAAATTTAGGATCCTTTCATTCTTATCATGGAACTTGAATATATAATTTTGTGTGTGCACATTAATAATTAAACCGTTTCTACTCACCTGCTATCCTATAATTTTTTAAAGCATTTGAAATTTATTAATAGCCTTTTTATATTCTCTTCTGCTTAATTCTCCTGACACATAGTATGGTAATTTTACTGATTGATAGGTAAGGAGAATAAAACTAGCTTAAAAAATACACATATACACAAATATTTTTAATTTGGGCAATTTCATTTATTAAATTAAAATTTGTCTTCTAAAATCAAGTTCTGCTGGATAGAAATGAACTTTGACTAACTAGCATTGGTTGAACTTCCAGCAATGGAATGATCCTAGTATTTCCATAGAATATCATATGGCTGGGATTGTGAAGTGAAAAGTTAACTCTGATCTTAGAAAACAATGAGTGGGAATCAGATTAACTGCTTTCCATCAAAAGTATGCATACTCGTCTCATCTGCCTATCTAGTTTTTAAAAATAAACTCTTTAACTTTTTGAAGAATCACTGAAATTGCTTTTTTCCTCTTCAAAATTTTAGGCCCATCCAAAATACTTGAGTTGTATTGCAATCAGCTGTTTTTTCCTAGCTGCCAAGACTGTTGAGGAAGATGAGGTAAATATTTTCCTTTGAAGATTAATTATGCCTCTTTTTTAATATTCCTCTCCATTTATTCACTGCTTTTCATTTACCAAAACAAATACTGAAAATGAAATTTTTCTGATCTCTCCACCCCGTCCTATTTATTTTCTTTGCTTTGGATAGAGAATTCCAGTACTGAAGGTGTTAGCAAGAGACAGTTTCTGTGGATGTTCTTCATCTGAAATTCTGAGGATGGAGAGAATTATTCTGGATAAATTGAATTGGGACCTTCACACAGCCACGCCATTGGATTTTCTTCACATTGTAAATATACCTGAAGTTTTTTGAGTTTCTTATTTGAATATGTAGCCCTATTTCAGTAACTTGAAAAGTAGTTTGCCTACTCATTTGTTTTGTTCTGATTTTTAGGAAAAGGGAACTTCCTGTTGTAGCTAAGGAAAAATTAGAAATTAGGATGTATGTCAAATCACTAAAGCTAAAATTTCAAACTGAAAAATTAAAAATTGAGTAATACTCAAGGTTTCATCAAGTTCTGTACATAATGTACCAAGACAGTTAAATAAAACTAGAATGATGATCTTGTGATTTTTTTTTTTTTTTTTTTTCCAGTTCCATGCCATTGCAGTGTCAACTAGACCTCAGTTACTTTTCAGTTTGCCCAAACTGAGCCCATCTCAACATTTGGCAATCCTAACCAAGCAACTACTTCATTGTATGGCCTGCAACCAACTTTTGCAATTCAAAGGATCCATGCTTGCTCTGGCCATGGTTAGTTTGGAAATGGAGAAACTCATTCCTGATTGGCTTCCCCTTACAATTGAACTGCTTCAAAAAGCACAGGTAGGTGTTAGTCTAATTAAATAGTGTTCATTTTAAGTATATCTCTTACTTGGATAAATAGGGTTATGAGATGCTTATTAAAAAAACTAAGAGACATTTCTAATCTTACAATGGCAGACCATTTTTAAGGGTAGACAAGGGTGAAGTAGTTTACACTAAATTTATGGGCTAGTCTTTTTTTTTTTTTCCCCTTTAAAACTTGTATAGTATTTCCTTGATTCTTTTCAACCCTTCCAGATTACTTAAAATCCTGAAGCACCCTGAAAGTTTTAATATGATTTTCAATAATATATTTTCCTTTAGTTTTGTATGAAGAACCTTCCTAGCTGCATTTGTATGTTTCATTATAGTACTTCTATACTTCACTCATTTTATAAAAGATAAGTCAAAAACATAAATTGTAAGAAGTTGCTTTTTAGACAAGCACATAATTTAGTGTTGGCTAGAAAATGAAGTATTTGTATCACAGTTTGGCAAATAGAAGCTATCTTTCTGAAAAAGGTTTTTGTCCTGGTAGTGCCTGTTTATTACCTGAGATTAGTCCGTAACTTGTATCTGCAAGTTGGTGCAGAATGCTGCGGGTCAGTTAAATTCTTATCAATAGTCTATATGAAATGTTAGAGTTTAGAGGAGAAAATTCTCATTCCAATGGAAAGTTAGTAATGGTAGCAATTACTTTGAGAGAGTTCTTATTAGTTCATGTTACCAAGTAGAACTTACAAGTTTAGATCTGCAAACCTCACTCTTCTGCCAACTGAATCCAAAAAAGACATAAGCTTACTTTTATATGTCCCTATTCTCATTTGGCAGTAGTTATTCTGATTTGTTTTACTGGATTTTATTTAGAGAAAAGGCTTAAATTCTGAGCTTAAAACATTTTTTAATATAAAAACTAATTTTAGCAGAGGCAGCAGTTATTTTAATAAAGCTTATAAGAGGATACTATAAAAGAAAAATAAGAGAATAATACTTGAATTTGGTGTTTTCTGTAAGACAGTTGTAACTAATGATCTTATAGATGTGAGCTGAAAAAGTTAGCATACATACAAGAAGTACCTTAGGGCTTCCTCTCAGCTTTGAGAAGTTCAGCCCCTAGTTTGTGAGCAGAGAAAGACTGAGAATCTTTTTATAAAGAAGATAACGATCAGAGCAACATATTAGCCAGAGCACCACCGTCCCTCTTCTGTGTGTTTGGTTCCACTGTTTTTAGCACGGCTCACTTTGTTCTTTATTCCTGGAACATGTAATGTTAGTGTAATACAGGCTGTTTTTTCTTAACAAGTGAGATATGTTCTTTTAAATAGTATATGTTAGATTGAAATAATTGAGAAGTGTTTATTTCCATTGAAATAAATGCTATAATGAAAGTAAATCCTAGGAGGTAGTTGCTATTTCATCAGAATTTTTAGAAACTATCATAAACCACCACATGAATAGTGTGGCACAGAAAATTAGTTTTGCCTACCTAGAGAGTTGGAAAAATAAAACATTATTAATCATTACATTATGTTAGACTGTGAAAGTAGGGAAGGCACATTAATAGAAAACCTATATTATAGTTTTTATTTTTTTATTTGAACAAATGGTATATTTCTAAAAGCCACTTGACTTGGTCTCTGTGCCTGTTCCCAAGCTAGTACACAGAAAATTTGCTATATGAAGTGTTACTGTCACAGAGAAAGGACAAACTTTGAAGCATAAATAATAAGAATGTTGTAAATAGCATGTGTATTCTGTAGCTTTGAGGGCTTGCTCTCTACTGAAGAACACTGGAGAATCTGCTGCTTCTCTTTCATAAGTCTTCTGGTGCTGGTGCTAGAAAAAGAAAGTGTTCACTGAACCTTGTTTCCCCCTTTACTGAAGGAGTATCATAAACTTGGAATTGAAGGAATCTTCTTAGAAATCATTTCTTTCAGCTCCTTAATTTTATACCTGTAATCCAGGGAACATGGGACTTTCTCAGACACACACAGGACTGCTTAGTAGTAAAGTAGACAAAGTGCTTTTTCAATACCACACAAACCTTAGAGATTCTAGTACAGTGGTTTTTCTTTCAGAACTGGAACCCTTCCTTCACCACTAACAAAATGTATACACACAATCCCAGAATACAAAATAGAAAAGTATTACTTTGTAATATATGTTTGGGGCAAAGACCTGTTGGGTCCAGAGTCCTACTAGCATGGCCTCTTCCCTTCTGTAAGCTGAACATAGTTTGAAAAACCACTGTTCCATTCTTTTATATAATACATATATTTTATTTTACAAACATTTACTGTGAACTCTGATATAGGCACTGGGGATACAGTGATTCTAAAAAGAAAGCCTGTGCCCCATGTAGTATTCAAGTTACAATGGAGGAGACAGTTAAAAACAAGTAAGGTCAGAAAACTTTAGAGACTTTGGAAACTGATCTTAGCAGTTTTCTAAAACCATCTTGGGCCAACCCTTGTGACCCAAACCTGATGGCTCCTGATTCTTCAAGACTCAGTTTTGTTTGCTAAGTTCACCTGTATTTAGGTAGGACCACAAGGCCAAAAATCTTTGTGATTAGACCTGTGACGTGGTAATACCAGATATTCCTCCCAGGAGGACTTTTGATTCTTGTATAGGAAACTCATGTATCAGATTGGTGAGATCATGCCAGAATTACTTCTGAGATGTTTCTCAGTGGTCTGGTTTAAGAGGACTGCCAGTGGTTCATCACAGATATCCTGTGCTGTGCGGAAGCCACTGTCAGTAGCTCTGCCTGTGTTCCCTCTGGAATTCAAAGTACAGTTAGTGTTCCCTGGTTTGAAAGGCAAGCTCCTCTTGTCTCTCCTAGTTCCCCCACCCCTATTAACTCTTAGGCTACTTGTTGGTCACCATTCTGAGATGGCTAAACCCTTTTCTCCTTACCCCTCTCTCATTGCTCTAATTCTTTTGCTATATGCAGTGTTCTCCTTTTCCTGACTGATGTGGCTCACCTTGATAACCTAAGGATGTTAAACCCTACCCAAATTAGTGTGGTGGTCTTCCTAGTCACTAGCCAGGCAGTTGATGTTCCCTGCTGTGGTATAATTTAAAATTAGAGTATTGAGTTAAAGAAGCAGACCCTCCTTACCAGGGTCTCCCAGTTCTAGTTCTTGAAGGTGCCTAAGGTCAGACTATTGCGGTAGGATTTTTCAGTGCTTTGTGCTGTCCAGGTCCATCTGAACCTATCACTTATGTCATGCTGTCCTGTTCCCCCTTTCCAACAGTAACCTGTTTGGATGTCTGTCCTGTAAACTTTCAGTGTTTAATCTCTAATATATATCTAGTTGTATCATTTTCTGCTACCTACTTACTTTTTTCACAGAGAAAGATTATAGTGACAGTCTTCCTTTTACTTAAATTCATCTCTTTTCAGAATTCTGCTGTGGTATTGTGCCTAATGACCAAAGCAGAATATTTGTGGTACTTTTACTTTTCTAGGCCACTAAGTAGCATTTATTTGCTAAAGCACAGTTATTAAACTCTAGGTACTTACTTTTTAGAAATAATTTTTACACTATAATAGTCTTTTTTTCACTTCGCAGTTTCTGTCTCTTATTTCTGTTACCTCTCTTTTGCAGGCTTCTTGAAGTACTGGGTAGGGTATCAATCACCTTAAGGAACTTAGAAATCCCATCCCTCTTCTCTGTGCTTTGTTTCACTGTTTTTCTGGGTAACAAGTAATGAATATATTTAGAGATAAAAGGCTGTTACCAAATGTGTTCTTGCAAAACATGTTATTTTCCTTTATTTTTTCTGTGATATTGCAAACAGTCATGCTTGTGTGCTGCAGGTTATGTAGGAATGAATAAGACTTGTTTAAGAAATGTCCAAAAATGCTTATGAAATACACAAGACCGGAAAGTGATCCCTTGATAGTTAAATAGTCAAGATAGGCCTCCAGCAGGGTGGTGGTAATTAGCCAGACCTGGAAGGTTATAGGTAGGTAATACAATTTCAACAAGTAGAAACGGGATGAGCCAAGGGTAAAGTAAGAAAGGGCAAGATTTGTACAGAATAGAGAGCAAGCCCACTTGGCAGGAATGTAGAGCACAAATTGATATATGCTAGGAAACAAGGCTGAAAAAGGAGGTTGGGGTCAGATTGTGGAGAGCTTTATTAATAACAATAAAACTAAAGAGGTTAGCTTTTTGCTGGTAGGCATTGGATTGCCACTAAAGAAATTTGGATAGGGGAGAAGTATATGTTGCTAAAGGAAGATTATTTTGACTACACCTATAATTACCGAGAACAGAGGGCCAAGAGACTAATTAGACTCTTTACCAGAGGTAAGATTTTGAAGATCTTCCATGTACAGTCATTATGCTAGAAGCAAGGAATAGAAATGCATATGATGCATTGCCCACCTCTTGGGATCCTGTAGTCTGTGAGGGAAAAGCTAAATGTTTGAATAGATTATGCTGATACAGTGTGGTTGAGTTTGATGGCAGGTGATATAGAAACATGATTCTGGAGTTTGGGTGTGTAGGAGGCTGGGGGTGGAGGGAGTCAAGGGTGGCTTCAGAAAGGATATTTGAACTATCCTGAAGAAATTAGTGTAACTCCAAATTAAAAACATTTCTTCCTAGTGTTGTCAAGCCTGCTATTTTCTACAAAAATATGACTTGTCAAAAGTTCTCACTTACTGTTTAAAAAACAAAATACTTAAATTATTCTGAAGGCCAGAAAGCCTTTCCCATTTCTTATTTAAAATTTTTCTTGCTTCTGGCTTCTTCCTTAAATTCTCAATGAATTTTATCTGTCTTTTGGTCTTGACTGAAGATATCAGAAGAGGTAAGGGGAATGGACTGAACAAAAGCAAATGTTTGGATATATAGTAGTGAACGAAAGACTTGTTTCTACTTTCATAAAGATGTTCAGCATACAATTGCAAATGCAGAATTCAAGTTCAAACAGATTTATATTAAAAATACAGATTTGGACAGAATTCCGAAGATGATGGGTAGGCTGGAGGAATAGATGGGTTTGAGGTAGAAGATAGATGGGGTGAGGAAAGGAAGCTGGGGGTGCAGAGGGCACAGGATAGAAAAGCAGCCAGCAAAGATGATAGAGCAGCCTATGTTAATTATCAACTTTTTTTTCCTTTTCTTTAATCCCTGTTGCAGATGGATAGCTCCCAGTTGATCCACTGTCGGGAGCTTGTGGCACATCACCTTTCTATTCTGCAGTCTTCCCTGCCTCTAAATTCCGTTTATGTCTACCGTCCCCTCAAGCACACCCTGGTGACCTGTGACAAAGGAGTGTTCAGATTACATCCCTCCTCTGTCCCAGGCCCAGATTTCTCCAAGGACAACAGCAAACCAGAAGTGCCAATCAGAGGTACAGCAGCCTACTATCATCTCCCAGCTGCCAGTGGGTGCAAGCATACCTCTGCCAAACGCAAAGTAGAGGAAATGGAAGTGGATGACTTCTATGATGGAATCAAACGGCTCTATAATGAAGATAATGCTTCAGAAAATGTGGGTTCTGTATGTGGCACTGATTTATCAAGGCAAGAGGGACACACTTCCCCTTGTCCTCCTTTGCAGCCTGTGTCTGTCATGTAGTTTCAGGTGTTACCTTTAAGTGCAAATTGAGGTCTACTACTCTGGGAACAGGAACATGGAAAACCAGGGAAGGTAAATACCTAATCAGGCTGATTTGAAGTGAGCCAGAAAAAACAAACAAAACCGTTTATTATTGTGGCTAATTATAATTCAACATTATTTAAGCACTTAAAGACCATGAAAAGTATAAATTTCAAAAGATCCAACAATTTTTTTAAAGTAAAAAATTTCTTTGTAGTAGTTGTCAGTTCTATCCTTTACTCTGCTAAAATGTAATGTAGGTTGCCCCGTGTCAAAAATTCACCTTCAGTAGTGTTTTTTTATGTAAGTTCCCAAATTCATAGCTAGCAAATCCTATCCCGTGTCCTGACTTAATTTTCCTGTTGCTTTTGCTTGCTCTTTTATTGACTGCTTAATGAATTTTATGCATGTTGATCTATAGCCTGACTTCTACTGATTAGGAAACCCTCAAAATTTTTTTAGCAATTTAGTGAACAAATTATTTCACTTTGACAGCCATGTTTAATCCATGATTCAAATTCAGATTTATCAGAATTGCCCCATATGAATCAGAGATGGTAATGGGAAAAGGACTCACATTACCATATTGATTGTCATGTTTGCCTCATTTCAATTTCTAGGATTTGGAAACAAAATTTTTATTTTTGATGATCTTAAATTGAAAAAAGTGTCATGTAATTAGGATACATAGATTTGTTGAAAGCATTTTTGACATTTGGATAAGAAATTTGTGATAAATATTCCTTGTACTTATCAAAGAAACATAACTAAAATTTAGATTTTTTGGTAACTGATCAGCTCCTTTTCACTCTACAATCAGTAGACGAGACTGTCTTGATGTTGGGGCAGCTCTGTGATTGGGTCTGTAACATGTAATAACTGAATTCACTACCCTAGTTTTATGTTAAGCTTTTAGGATTTTCTTGATAAAAGTTGTTCTGCTTCCCAAGCCTACCTATGTTTCTCTTAATGACTTCTGGAATCTGAGCTCCCTGTGCAGTCTGAAGAAGGTATTGCAGCCAGAACCAGCCATGTACTGATGATAAAAGCCTCTGGTAGCAATAAATGTTGTCCTTAACCCTGTTGTCTCTCTTTTTTTCTGCTCGTGAAGAAGTGCAAGTTCCTGATTGCTTAGGCACTCTTCTTTAAACTGGGAAATGATAGGAGGCCTAAGAATGTGCTTTACAGAAAATAAAACATGACAGAAGGGATTTAAATGTGAAGGATGTAGGGTTTTGACAAAGAATGTTTCATGTTATTTCCTCAGTGGTGGATGGATTGTGGACCTTCCAAACAGTAAATTCTCATCTTGATACTGCGCGAGGGCAGGTAGACCCACATCTAGATAATACGGCATTTTAACCTATTGATTTTGTTCCAGTTTAGCAGAGGAAGATTAATCTTGGGTCAGCGTTTGACTTGAAATTCTTATGGTAGGGTTGGCTAACCTTCCTGCTTATGACTTTCAACCCAAAGTGAAAACTTGCATTTATATGTAAGTAAAGGGAGGAGGGAAGATTAAAAAAACTGTTTGGGTGAAGACAGTAAGAGACTGGTTTTGCAGATACACATTAAAATTTCCCACTTTTCCTAATCTCCCCTGGTTATGTTTCTTAATTCTTCTTAATTGTGGGAACTTCAAGAAGTTTATAAGTACATATGTTCACCATTTCTGTAAAGTAAATGGCACTTAAATTCCCCCCACCTGCACTTAACAGATGAGTAACATTTTTGTTACATAAAAAGCTAGTGATAAAATTGAGTCTAGGGTCAGAATATTTTTGTAGTTCAGTAGCTACATTGAACATAAGTTAGTGACAGGAAGAATTTAATTCTTTGACCTTGAGGTTTTTCTAATCACAAAAAATTGCTGGTAAATTGGTTTGGAACGTAGTATTGTTTTCATGGGAAACTGAATTGGGATGGTTAGCTGTTATGCCTAAAGCTTATTTAACCCATACTTAAATTAAATGACAGTTCTTTGGAGACCAGACCTTTCTGAGCACTATCCCATAAACTGGGCTCTTGGAGAATTTTGGCTCTGAGGGGTCTGAACTCATGGATTGAGAAAGAAAAGGCACAATACAATATTCTTGAACAGTGTGGAACTTTTCATTAAGAACATTCCTGCTGTTAAATTAGATCCTGTTTTACCTGAAACTATTCTCATTAGCCTATCCCAGGTTACTTTAGTTTATACTATTCTCTTCCAAAATGTGGAAATGACCTTTATGGATCATAATTGTCTGGTGCCTCCCGGTGGTTAGCAAACCTATTATTCCATGAAGCCTGCACAAAGGCAAGGGAATAAACTTGATGGGCATAACTTATTCTCTGATCTTCCATTCAACAGAAAAGGTGAAGGTGCGTGCTCTCGAAGATTAGACTAGAAGCTACATATGTACTTCATCCTCTGTGCAAGATCGGTATGAAGCTGGTTATCTGGAGAACTGGATGTTTTATCTACAGATGATGTTTATATTACTGTGGAGGGGGGAGGGGAGGGTTGAGAAGGGGAAGTGCCCCCAAATGTCAGATTTGACTGATGTATCAGAAATGTTCCAGAAATTACATAGGCCTCTGGCTCTGAAAAAAGCTAGAGCATAACTCTTCACTCAGCCAAGCTGATGTGAGAATCCGAGTCTACGTTACCACTGTTAAGGGAAATAAGACATTGCTGTCTGTCTGCCACCTCAAGAAGTCCCCCTCCCCCCATGTTGTCAGAACCAACGTGTGTGTGTCCTCTGTACTCGACATACCAGATTTTCAACCTAATTTACTGTGTGGAGTTCCCAAAACATGAAAGTTGTGCTTGAACATTACTGCCCAAAGCAGCACAGTGGCCTTTCGCTAAAAATGGAATTAAATCACCGATGGGTGGCAAACATGGCGAGAACTTATCTTCATCCTTATGGTGCTTTGTACATTTTCGCTGGAAAGGGAAGATGCCGTGCCAAGTGTTTTCACAAGCATCTTGGGAGACAGCATGCCTGGTGTACAGTAGCCAGTGGAGGGTTAGATGATTGTCCAGTGCCATATAACTAAGACTTTTTAAAAAGGTTCAAATTCCAACTCACCTCAGATCTTTTGCCTTCATATTTGATAACATGAAGTTTTCTCTAACATGCAATTGTTACTTGTAAGGCCTCCAGAATTCTTGAAATTAGCCTTTAAACTGTTAGTGTCTCCCACTCCTGTTACTGCTTTGTGCTTTGGCCACTAGATGGTGCTTCGAGGAAAATGAAACATCTTTTAGGTTTCTAGAAGTGGAGTTGTTTGGGCTTACTGCAGAGGAGTGAGTAGTTGAACACTTATGTCTTGTTGCTAGGCAACATTCAACATCATTTGCAGTTACAAGTTCATGTCCCTAAGGCACAGGAGGCCCATACATGTGGGACTGAAGGGGAAATGAGCAGGATCTGCTCTGGTATGAGGCAGATGGTGGCTAGATAGGTCTCATTCAAAAAAAAGTTTCACAAATGAACGCCTTGATGCTTTCAGTTTGAGTTGGCTTTGACCAGTCATTAGGTCAGAAAAGATGAAGTGCATGCTTTTGTAGCACAGCTTGCATCAAGGAATTAAAAGAAAGCTTTCCCTCACCATATTGAGTTTAGTGATTTTTATGACATACTAATATGTAAGACCCATGTGTAGCAGAGACATAACTCCCTTTGACATCTCTTGATTATTGAAAAGTTGTAATATAGTCATTTCGCCAGATAGAGGAACTTGAGAACTCACAGCTAGTTTTCTAGTTTTTAGGATCTTCTGAATTCAGAATGTAATGAGAAGAACCTTTCCTTTTCTTTTGGATCTTAAAGTACAACCTTCAAAGCAGAGAAAATACCAGAATTGTTGACCTTATTGTGTTACACAACAGTGGGGCAGTAGAAAAGCATAGGCCTAGTGACCTGGCTTCTCATTTCTCAGAAATAGCTTAATTTGTTGGGCAAGAGACACTGCAGAATGAAGGGCAACCTTAAGCAACCACTGAAAAGCAATTTGGGGGCGGGGTGAGGTGAGGCAGGGCGCCTTTGCTTTTCAGACTACAATCAATCCAGCAGCTTTGCATAGAAAGGGCTTACCTTTTTTATTCCAGAAGTTTGCTTATGAGGTATACAGAGACAAGTGCAACTCATAGACCCTGGCTATATCTCCAGCACCTAATGTAGGCCTGATGCAGTATATAGAATAAAAAGTATTTGGAGCCCAGCCGGGGTGGTTTAGTAATTGAGTGTCAACCCATGAACCAAGAGGTCACCGGTTCAATTCCTGGTCAGGGCCCATGCCTGGGTTGTGGGCTGGATCCCGTGGGGGGCGTGCAGGAGGCAGCCGATCGGTGTTTCTATCTATCTCTCTCCCGCCCTCTAAAATCAATAGAAACTTAAAAAAAAAAAAAAAAGGGTTTGGAAAGAGGGAAGGTGTGGGAAAGGTGGGTGGATGGACGTGAATAAAGGGCAAGGAGAGCTAGAACTACAACTCCAGAGGTCTTAAAGCATTGTGTAGGGAATGTGTGGGTGAGCCAAGCTCTCTATAGAATGTTCTCTCCACCCTCCCCCATACACATTGTCTTGTGGGACAGCGACCAACCTTGTTATATAACAGCCTCTGCCGCCTCTGACCTATCAAGGTGCCATAATTTCGAAAGTTTCCATAGTGAACTGAAATGTCATTCAACTCGCAGCACTGTGAGTACATAACGGATTTTGAGCCAGATGTGAAATCATTTGTACCTCACCTGGATGCTCCACTGACAACCAAAGAGCTCATTGATATGATGGAGGTGAGTGGGTACCTAGACTCAGTCCTCAAATGAACACATTCTATCCCATCACCAGCCGGGGGCTCCAGCTGCCTGCTAGATAGTGTTCTGAAAGCCAAACGGTGTAAGTCACAAGGACTAAATATTATGGTCTTAACAATTCAAGCACAGGGATATTCTACGTGAGCTACACTGCAATCACGGCCAGTCTCCAGGGTGGAAAGACAAGTCATCTGCAAAGCAGAAGGTTTTGTGTAGAAACATCATTTGAATACAGTGAAAATCATACACTTCATTTTTCAGATATCAGAACTGTTTACCCATAAGCTGGGCCAACGATTGGCAAAAAAATAATAATAATAAGGAAGTTTCATTTGATAGGTACAGTTGACGGAGAAAGTTTGGCCAAGCATATTAGGAAGAAGACCTAATTTACCTGCTCCACCTCAGCACATACTGATTCAGGAAATCGGATGTCCTCTACGAGTACTGTGGCAGTCTCAGGCTACCAGACTACACCTGTAGCAATAAGGCACAGTCTGTATCTGAAATCAAGTAATATTTTTTAAGATTGAATGAAAAAAAGCCTGCTGCCAATGGAAATAGGTTTTGGGGGTCAATTCTTGCTTTACTTTTACACAGTCTACCATGGGGTAAGTGAATTTTTATTATTGATAATTAGCCCTGGGATGGTTTCATAGCCAGTATTATCAGTACTTGAGAAAAGGAACCCCTTGAAGTAAAATGCCAAATGGAGAGAGGGCAGTGCATTTGACCAGCGGTGTGTTTGTCCGTGACCAGCTTTCCCTTGGTCACTGAACAGAGGCCAGCCTACTTATAATAGCTTGTTCCCCCACCCCTCCCATTAAGATGATTACTAATATATTTCCTTTAACCAGAGGGCTAAAAAGGGGAAAAAGGAACGGCAACAGTAGACTACATATTTCTCTACTTAAAACAATCCTAATTTGATTCTTAAATATTGTTCAATAGATGGCTATGACCTGATGCAAAATTTTAAAGAGTGCTAGAGTAAAGCTGATACTAAAATATGAATTTAAAAATAACTTTGGTACCTAATGACTACAGTGGTTTCACACGCAATAGTTTATATATTGGCATGTTAATTTGTCATGTTCTGGCATTAAGGAGTGGGTACCCGTTCATCCACCCCCTTGAACTACTGGTCGCTAGCAGATTTCTGTCCTTATAGGTTATACTGGAGGGGATGGCTCTGTTCATAATTTGATCATTTAATGGCTTGGACGAATCTGACTATTGCATTTAATCATAGTGTCTAAGTAAAAAAGGCCAGCATGCTCATCTAATTCCAAGAATTAAATGACTCAAGAGGCAGGGCCTGTTCCTTCATTTCTCCTTCCAACAGAAGCCTGTGTTACTATTTCTTAAGTAGAGGGGACATTCCAAAGGATCGTCACATGCAACTCATGCCACCGATAATGTTTTTGTGATCTACCTACTGTGGGGCTGAAAAATGAGAAAAAGCAAAGACTAGACAAGTGATGAAATTATAAGGTAACTTAAAATGTATGTTCATGCTCTAAAATAGAAATAAACTTGAAAATTGTCCCTTGACTGAAAACTGCCCTTAAGAGGTGACTGCTAATAAAGTCATCTAGCCTGTCACGAATGGGTTAGCATTAGAAATCAGACTCAACTGGCAGAAGTGTGTGTTTGTATGTGGGCATATTTAAGTGATTCCCTGCAGACTGTTTTCTTGCAGACATAGTGCAGAAAGCCACCTGGGTAATTCTGAGAAGACTGGATCAGAATCATTGCTAATAAGGCTGTTGTCTGGGACAGGATAGGTGCTTGTTCCGGTTCATGTCCCATGGTCCAAAACAACTCTGGACACAGGGTAGGGCAGAGCTTCACATAAATAAGAAGGCAGGGATGGCCCAGAAAGTTATTTTAAGGTACCTTTAAATATAAACCGAGTCCCAGTGGCAGAAAAGTCATCTACCCAGTACTCACATTTGAAAAATGATTAAGACTTGTAGGTCAAAACCTCAGTGACAGCAAAGAGTTTGTTGTTAGATGTCTGAGATGAGAACATTTTAAAGAGAATTTTGTGACTTCACTGAAATTTCCCCTTAAGCTTAAAACTAGCTTAATTTTGATACCAAAACTAAGTTTGAGTAACCAGTACATAAAGCAGAACTGGCTAACTGGCATTTCCCCCCCAAAAACAGAATCCCAAAGCCAAAACAACTTATACAAGGGGTGCAGGTAACAGAGAGTCAAATAAAACAATAGTGGTTCCTGAATTTAAAGGAAGGATGCCCACTTCTTTCAAGAGGCAGATGGTCAGCTGAAAAATAAAAACACTGTATCAATAGAACACGCCAAATAAAGGTGCAGCCACCTCTGTTCATGCAATACCAAATGTTTAAGAAAAAACCCCACACTCCAAAACCCATAAAACTAACAAACAAAGGGAAGGGAAATGTTGCCCAGATCTCATGGCCTGATTGATGGCTGAGGGTCCCGAATGGGTTGTTCAGAATGTCATTCATGGGCTGGCGTTAACATGAGATCAAGTTTGTGACCCCTGGAGGTGGGGGCGCCTCACATTAGGGTACGTGCTGTCTTCGGTCCGTGAGTTCTTGGACAGCAGCTCCAAGAACACGACAGCCAAGCAAGAAGATCCCAACACGGGGCTACCTTAGGTCTTGGCCCCAGTTCTCTGTTTCACTCAATTTCCTTTTAAGTAGTATAACTTTTTGGTAGTGATAAGTCACTTTTGTAACCACTATGGGTAGTGGTTTGTAAACAGACATTGACCAATACAAACAGCAGTGAATATTCGACCCAGACTTAAAAAAGGCGATGGTGGAAATGAGGTAACTCGTCCCCAACACGTGTGAACAGATAGCTCCTGCTCTTCTAATGCTCTATGTCCATTAGGAGAGAGTAGGGCTTGTCAACAGGATGGTTACATAAAGAAGAAGCTACAGAAGAGAAAAAACAAAGGTTCAGATTCAAATTTGGTTCTTAAAGGCTTAAAAAAAAAATTTTAAAAGGGAGCTTTTTTATAATGAACTGTGAAAGAACGTGGCCGTTTCAGGGTGACCTCCTCTGAGCACAGGTTTCAGCAACAGCAGGGGTGGCAGCGAAGGCCGGGGAGGGCGTGCCCGGGCCTGGGGCAGTGGGCACCAGGGGACACTGACCAGGACGCAGGGCAGGGACACGGGGGAGACGGTGGCAGAGACAACATGGGAAGTACAGGACACCACACGGTGTTTTGGAGAAACTGGTGCTGCCTACCAGACAAGGCGGGAAAGCACGAGACTTCCCCGTTTCTCTCATCCCAGGTAATCAGCATGGGCATATATGCAGATCACACAGAGACTAAAAGAACTCACAAAAGGGCACACAGTGTTTGGGTAAAAATATATTTCCCCCACTTAATGTCTTGGCACTAGTGATATACGCATAGGTTACCTGTCCAGCCCTCTCCTACCGTGACAGGCACCACGTGACTGAGCACGTCTGCTAAGTGATTACCTTCATACTTGAGAAAATGATATGCTTCACATCAATACAGTTATTTTAGTTTTTAAAAAAAGACAAGTCTAACATGCAGCTTACATATATGACAATTTTGCATTAACACCGAAAGTAGATTACACAACAGTTTTAGAAACACATTGGTTATTTTCAAACAGCAAAATGACAATGATCTACAACTATAGTTTAAGGCATATCAGCATATTTAAAAATTAAGAAATAGACAAAGTTCTAATGCTGTTCACAGCTTAATTTTCAATTTATTTAAAAAATTCCCTTCATACCTACATACAGTCTAGACTTTGTAGGTCATAATTTCCACTCAGGAGTCATATATACGTATTCTGTCAATGGAACCAAGACTTCTGGAAGCTGAGACTTGACAATTTCAAACATTTGCAAATGGAAAAGCAAAGGGGTCTGAATGGACAGTGTTGGTAGGACCACACAGAGACGGTATGACATGGGTTGGCAACAGCTGAAAAACCTGATTAAGCTGTTTGTATGTGAAACACATGGATATGTCAAGAAAGTGAGGAAACCAAGTCTATTTGTTTGACATGATATGAAGGATAAGTTATTTTTATTGCTGGTGAGACTGCAAAGCAGAGGAGGAAGATTAAAGTAACCTGTGCCCAGCTTTACGTTAAACATGCCCCCGTTTGAGATGCCCCTTCTAGACAAAACCTTGACCAATTAATAAAAAGCCTAAGCTGGAAAACATCGTCTCTGAACTTCCAATAAATTCTCATAAATGTCTTTCCGTCACATTCCACTGCATGTACAACTATGACGGGTAGCTAAAGTCCAGAAGAAGCAAAAAGTAGGCCATTGCGGTTGAACAAAAGATGTGGGGAGGGGAGTTAGAGCTGTCTGGCTTAAAGAAAGAGGTGATCACTGCCAGCAGTTAGCACAGGGGCAAAGCCATTAAAGCAAGATCACAAAAAATTAAGCAGTCACAGAGGCAGCGTAGCATAAACAACGATTCCTCTTGATTTTCTCCAGTGGACGGTAGTAGTTTCTCGTTCTACATTCACATCAAACCCAGAGCCCTCCGTAACATCCGATGACACCCACCACGCTGTGCAAACACAGACTGGGGCTCGTCATTTCTGACTTCCATATTGATATCAAAGAAAAACTGAATTTATGTGTTTCTTGTGAAAAAGATATAAAAGTGGCCATTTTAAATATATTTTGGGGTTTTTTTTAAACCAAAAGCTACTCAAACCATTACCTCCCTACCCCCCTCCAAAAAGAAAAAAAAAAAATCCATTTATCCCATGTTTCTCTAGTCAGAAAAATCTCAAAAATTTCTTCCTACCGTACTTACATGCAAAGGCGAAAGCACATCCAATTAGATTGGAGGGAATCATTTACTCCGTGCAGAGCCAAGGACTACTGTGGAAAAAGGCACAGATACAGAAAGAAGGAGAGCAATAACGAACGAAACAGGGCCAGGGAGCAGGGGCAGGAAGAGGTTCAGAAGCAACGCATTAAAAAAAAAGCTGCTATAGTCTACATATTTCTTTGCACTTTTTATTCTCTGACTCTCCACATGATATATTTTACTGTGAAAAATCTAATGGGGGAAAAAATCAATCACTAATCTTGGAATCAAAGTCAGCTGGATGCCTTCCACGGCGAGGCTCATTTAAAGAGGCTTTAGTGATGCACTGAAAGTGACTGTAAAGTGATGCATTTTTAGAATTTCGAGTGCATTTTCCGTTACACAGACAGACGCTCACACAGGCATGCAACACCGCACGCGCGAGCCGGCCGGGCCGCAGAGGAAGCATGCGGCGACCGCGGGCCCCGCGCCGGGCAGCGCACTCAAGCGTTAAAAACAGCAGGGACGCAACCCGGGCCCAGTGCCTCTCAGACCTGTCTCTGCACCACTCTGGCCGCTCCCAGTTTGCAGTTTCTGTCCCAGCTTCGTTTGGGCTTCAAGGAGGCGGATTTCTTCCTCTGCCTAATGAAGCCACATCCGCTGACGGCAGAGCACTGTCCCCTAAGAGTACGGCTCAGGCCCAAGAAGGGAAAAGCAATCTATCGGAATCAGCTACAGACTTACTCATTTTAAAAATGTGTATGTCGGGAGGTACAGGGCACTCTATCCTATTTACCTTACGTATGACTAGTAATTCCAGAGGGAAGATGCAGAAGTAAATAAAGTCTCAGGTTTGTGAGAAATGTTATTCTTTCATGTAAGAAACAGGAGACTACAGAGTTAGAGGGAAGGCTGGGAGGATCTTGTTATCAGAGAGGAAAAAAGATGAAAGGATAAGCCTTACAGAGGAACAGCCTGGAAAAGAGATTACACGTGCCCTTTTCCATACAAATGCGGGTGCGGTCTGTGTCCTGGCATATGGGTTAGTCCTAATCTTCACTGATGGGGTGACGGGCCATGGACATAAAGAGGGAGGTGACCTAGTTGTGAGGGGAAAGGTGAAGAAATTCCTTCAAGACAACTAGATTCGAAAGACCAGCTGCTGTATTTTTTCTTCCCTTTATTCCCAAATATCGAAAGGACACTATGCAAGGAGGCTTGACGTGCAGCTGAATTTCCACTGTCTTTGTGTTATGCTCCCTCCCAGGTCACCTGAAATTGACAGGACACCCTCAAGGTGCTGCTGCAGATGATACACAATTTATATCACGTCTTATTTGAAGGATTTCTGAAAAATCTCTTCTCATGATTATTGGAAGTACCGATATCCCAGCCCACTGAGAGCGGATGCGGGTGTGTTTAGGAAAGGCTGCTAATTCTAAGCAGCTACCCTTAGCAGGTGCTCCTATGAAGCAATGTTGCATTGTCCGACTTTTGAGACACTGATTGTGAAACTATGATTATGTTTGCTTTTCTCAGTGCAACCTTGATACTCTCGCAGATAGCATCGTTTTATTACAGTTCAACTTGGCCAGAATTTGAGAGATTTTTAAAGCCATGAGCAGAGACAGTCAGTCTGAACAGACCCACAACCCAGACCAAATACTGTTGTTATAATGAGCGATTCATGCACGTTTCAAAGTCATATACAGCTTACCCCCTGGTCTGTCTACGTGCAAAACTACCTTGGGTTTGGGGCAGGTGCGGAGAAGAGACAGAGTGAGTTCAGGGCCTTTGCCATCATGGAGATGAATAATTAAGGAAAGTGAGCTGTCATGGATATTCAGGTGTATGGTTCGGCTGCTGAGGCGGTGAGTTTTCCTGTCAGACGAACATGTAGCAAGTTACCCTCCTTCCCTCAGTCCAAAGCAACATACAAGCAGCAGGCATGCTCCCTGCCGCCACTCAGAACAGGCACGAAAGGCAACTCATTTACTTTCCAGAGACAAAGTCCAGCTGCACAGAGCTTTTGCTGTTATGCCCGTGTTCTATCACTTTCCAGCACCCAACAACGTTTAGCAAAATGAGTTAAGAGTTATTGGTGTCTGGGGAAAGGTAAAAAAAAAAAAAAAAAGACACAGATGGCAGAGATACAATATTACTGCAAAAGCAGGTGAATGCGGGACCATCCTTGGCTTGCCAGGCTTTATGTGAAGCTTGCACTGCAAGTTAAAAAACAAAACAAAAAAGTTAGAAATAATAACAAATAAAAAAGGAAAACTGGGAGCGCCAGCACCAGCATTAGGTGATGGTGAATGCTCATGCAATGATTATGGAATTCACAGAAACTGGAACCAAAAATCTGAGTAAGCTATTCTACACAACAAGCAAAAGCGACATTTTCATACTGAATTAAAGAACACGTGGTTAGTTTCCATCTGCATGTAATTTAGAATTCACAGGTGACCTCTTGAAACCATTACATGTTCTGGTGGAAGGATTTACTGTTTGATTTTCGTTTTCTCCAATAAACAAAACCATTATCTTTTATGTTAGATTTGGGCATCACATGTGTACTGAATAGGAATTGCCTCTTCCATTTCTGAGCTGCTAGAGTAAGAGAATAAATATGCTATAAATGGCTTTGAACAATTAACTTGGCGGTTGAAATACAGTCGATGGAGGGCATGCTATTAATCCACTTGGGAAGGAAAAAAAGGCACAATCATTATGTGGTTACAGCTACAGCAATGCCAAGAGCCTTCCCCCTCTTTTAGGTTCAAGGCAGTGCCAAATCCCAGATCCACATGTCTGTCGGCAAGTCCAAAACATGCAACTTCATTCCTCAGCAAGAATCAATAAAATAAAAAAAAAGAATGGATGATCGTATAAACTATAGTTATCAGATGCCAGGTACAGTTTTAAAATGATGGAATTTAAAAACTTATTTTGGGATGGATGTATCTTAACCAGCAAATGCCTGCCGGCGGTTGTGCAAAGTTCTCAGGAAAGATGAACACTGTCCACTCGGCAACTTACCGTCGGGCAGTCCCACCCTGTGGTGTAGCCGCAAACAAGGAAAGTGACTTGGTGGCCAGAGGCGGCAGGAGGTGGGGTCCAGCTAATGGCAGTGCCAGGGTTAGTTTACTTTGTCTGTAATCTTAGGAAATGTTATAGGATCTCAAGCCACTACAGGTCAAGGAGAAGTATAAAGCTTTACCTACGTTAAAAAGGGAGCATGTCATTAAAATAGAAAAAACAGAATTTAGAACTATTAAAAAAACTAAGTTAGGCTCCGAGGTGGAAACACAGCAGGTGAATAAATAAACATCTCTTTTTTTGTTTTCTCCCTGAACAAAGCCAGCGCCTGCGGGGCCTGCGTGGTGACTCCAGCATCTCTGCGTGAGGAGAGCCTTCCATCCCGTTCCATTGCCCGGCCACTGTCTTTCTGTGGTCCTCTCTAACCAAAGCGCTCCACTGCAGGAAGAGGAGCGCTGCTTTTTTTTAGTTGGGTTTTGTGTGTTTTTTTAACTTTTACACTCCAACTGGCAGTTGATTTCACTGTTCAAATGGTAAAATGTGGGAAAGGGTAGGAGCCTAGAAATTACCTAAAAATACGTGCCGTTGTCAGACACAAAACCTGGTGACTATTGTGCACCAAATTAAGTCTAACTCCATGAATAATTAGTGAGATATATAAATAAGGCTAAAATAGAATTTACACATACTTCACGTAACTTGAAAGCATCACACATTGCTAAGGTCCAAGAATGGGAATCTAACCTAAAATGTTCAACAGGGCAAGGAAAAACCTCCCTACACTGGGAAGTCTGTTACTAACTATATATATATTTTTTTCAATGGAGGCACAATACTAATCAGTTCTTGGAATTTTTATTGCTTAAAGGCACATCCAGTATACGTGAATTACCCTTAGAACATTGCTGGTCGTTTATAAACGTTTTTAGTTCTAAAATATATACCTTTACGTATGTTAGTGCTTCAGGATAAGAAAACCCTAACTTTGGGTTTCTGAAGCTGTGAGTCATAGCTTGTTCTCTCTCATTCATGCCCATAAATGTAGACACAGACACACACACACACACACACACACACAGGACCCCCCCCACACACACACCCCATACCTATTTTTATCTTGGGTGAGTTTGGATCAACAAGGGCATGGTGCCAAACGGCTTTCCGTTTGTCTTCCCTCCAGGAGTCGCTGCACTCTGACTGCACGGGGAATGTCACCATTGGTGACCGACACTCGGCCACTGTGTGTAGCTACAGTGCTTTCTTGAACTGGGTTATAATCGAGGCAGTTGTTACTCTCAGAACTCATCTAGCATAACAAATTTCTAAGCCCTTGGAGTCATTTCATCACTTGGGTCTGTACCAATCCCATTAAAATCACACCTCACCTCTACCAACGACTTTCCATTGCTTAGAATAACGTGCCTGCTCCTGTGCTCTCCTGACGCGCTTTCTGCTGTCTCCCAGCTTGTGGTTTGCACAGTATAATTTAAAATTCTATCCGTGTGTCCCTGTAGCAGCGCATTTTGATTTCTACCACAGGCAACTTAACACGATTCCTCAAGGGTGAGTCTGTTTGTTCACCAAGACTCAGGAACAATCCCTCTGGTAGGTCTCAACTACTGCGCAGACTCAGTCTGGTCTTCTGTATTTTTAAAAAGTGTCTTTGCCTGCTCGGGTACCACCACTTTTCTCGTTACTTAGCTGTCAGCCTCTTCCCTAGGACGCTAGCATCGCAGGTGGAGAGCAAGGACCGAGCGCACGCAGGGGGCAGCCGGTCGACGGCTCTCTCCTCACTGACGTTTCTCTCTCTCTCCCCCTCTGATATCAATAAAGACATATTAAAAAAAGGGAAAAAAAAAGAATCCTGAGCAGGCTCTGAGCTGTTTTAGGCTGCCTGCCCGAAGAGCACTGCCCACGCCAAGCAGGGCGCCCACGGCGCGCCGTCAGCCGCCACACGGCCTTCCCTCGAGGCTCACTGCCCACTGCTTCCTGCCAAACGGCAGATGCCTGCAGGGGTTTGACCTACAGCTCCAAGTGACCGGAGGGTGGCAGGGACGGCCGCCTGCCGCTGGGCAGTCACGGGGAGTGACCAACACGGGCGGGGTCTGGCCCTTTGGCACATTACACCAAAGCCGTATTTAAAAGGCGTGTGGTGCGCGGGCACAGGTGCGTCTTGAGGGGAGGTGGGGGCGTCCCCTGCTGGATGGGACTGTGCCCCCATTTTCATAATAAAGCAATTCATCATCTTGTGGAATGTAGAGGAATACTAACAACGCCACTAGCAGTTCTTCCAAAGCGTTCATCTGGGGAACGACGACCGGCCCATCGGGCCTCGCCGTGCGGGCCGGGACAGCAAACACACACCCTGACGCGGGACGCCCGGCCGGAGTCCTCCGGATCCCCGCGCTCGGCGGGCGGCCAGGTCAGGGACGAGCGCCGGGCGCCCTTACGAGCACTTAGGGGCCTTCGCCACCGGCCCCGCGCAGCAGAGAAAGCACCGGCCTCGGTCTTTCTGGGGACAGACGCTTCCGTCTGCAAGCGGGAAGGCGGGGACATGCAAGAGGAGAGGCGGCCGGCGCCCGCTTACTTTTTCTTGTCTTTGTCCTTCTTAGGCTGGGCGCCCGCCTGCTGGGCCTGCGTCTGCAGCAGCTGGGCCGCCGCCTTCTTCTTCTGGAAGCTGCTCACCTCCTCCTCCAGCTCCTTCTTCTTGTCCTCCACCTTCTTCTTCTCTTCCTGGTGCGTCCGCTTCAGGAGGTCGAACTTCTCGTGGAGCTGCGGGCAGGAGAGGACGGCGTGTGACGGGCGTGACAGGTGCGTGACAGGCGTGTGACGGGTGTGTGGCGGGCGTGTGGTGGGTGTGACTAGTATGTGACAGACATGTGGTGGTTGTGTGACAGGCATGTGGCTGCCGTGACAGGCGTGTGACGGGTATGTGACGGGTGTGTGGCGGGCGTGACAGGTGTGTGACAGGTGTGTGACGGGTGTGTGGCGGGCGTGTGGCAGGGGTGTGACAGGCGTGTGGCGGGCGTGACAGGCGTGTGACAGGTGTGTGACAGGCGTATGGCTGCCGTGACAGGCGTGTGACGGGCGTGTGACGGGCGTGTGACGGGCGTGTGACGGGCGCGTGGCGGGCGGGCAGGAGGCGCGGGCACCTGCTGGGAACCACGCGCCTGCAAGGAGCGGAGCAGCGCCGGCTCGAAGCCCCCGGCGCTCCTCGCCCGCCTCGCCGGGGCTAAGCGGGGCCCACATGCCCGGGAGAAGCATGAGGAAGGAGAGAAACGACCCACGCTCCTAGTACATTCGCCCGAGGGGCAAGAGGAGTTCTCTACGTAACGTAAAACGTACATTTACTGAGAGACACGGCGACCGCAGGGCTACGCTGAGAAATTCCTGGCCCTTGACAAACTGAATTTTGCAAATTATGGCCAGGCGGAAACAAGCGGAAGGAGGGAGGGAGGGCGGAGTCTCACTAGCAATTCCAGGCCTTCACCAGCAGCCTCTCGGTGCTTAGAGCCAACAGCAGGTAAGGCCCAAGTTTCCTGTCTCTGGGCAAAACTGTGTCGAGCGCTTAGCTACTGAAATAACCTCTAAGGTTCTGTCGTCTTCATCGAGATAAAGAAAAAGGGGATGGTGAGAAAATTATTTAGACAGCTTCATTTGTAAATGTATTTGCAATGTATCTGCACTATCGTCAAGCACCGGAGGCGCTCACTATCATCAGAAGGAAACGTATTTCACACGCACTCTCTCTCCCTCAGCGGGTGGGTGTTGGAGCAGAAACCCATGGGGACGTCTAGGACACAGTTAATTTGGCCTGGGCCTGGGCCTGGGGAACGAGAGGAGCCAAAGGGATGCTGGAGCAGAGAGCGCCTGCCGGCAAAGGGGGAAGCTGAGCCCAGGCTCGGCCTGCGGAGACCAGCACCTATCAGTGCTGAAGGGCACCCACTGCTCAGCTCTCTGACGTAGCTGATAGACTAAGACAATAATAGTCCCAGAATCTCAAATCTCATATTTCGACTTCTATACCGAGGAAATACGGAGGCACAAAGAGAATGGGACCAGGTCTGGAGACCTAAGATTGAGTTTTAGTTTCAGCTTTGCTACTAACTAGGTATATGACTGCATAAATCGCTTAACCTTTATAACTCTCAGTTTTATCATCTGTAAAATGGGGATAAGAGTATCTGAACTACTTTTCTTGCTAGGTCAGTACACCATGCATGTGATAAAATGCATGTAGAAAGCACTTACAACAGCATGAAGTCCCATAAAACGTGAAGCGCTAGTAAAACACCTTGCTTGTTTCTCTCGCTGGGAAAAGGAATGACAGGTGGCTCACCTCCTTCTCAGCCTCTTTAAGTTCAGCTTCTTTCTCCTTCACTCTCATTACAAACATCTGTCTCATCTCTTCTTCTTTCTTCTGAAGTTCTCCCAAAAACTCATTCCTTTTGGCTTCGTACGTCTCCTGAAGACTATTCAAAAGTCAACAACAAGGGCAGGGTCATGAAATTGCGTAAGACATTTCAGTTTCTAGAATTTCTACCCACCCTCTTCCAAAAAAACAGATAAGGCTGCCACTTACCCTGTCAAAGACACAGAAAATGGCACCCTCTTCTTTTTAGTTACACCATGGTCAGAAAGACAAGTGCGTCAAGAGCAGAGATGAGTCAATAAGCACAGGGCAGCACTCATGGGCTGTCTCTGACTGGCCTAGTGTTATCCCACGCGTGTTCACACGGGGAAAGCCTGGGCTGGGCTGGCAGGTATCTTCCAGATCAGCATACCCGGTGGGCATGGAAGATATGATTAAGGCTTTTGGGAGAAGGAGGTGGTGTGGTGTCCGGAGAGAAATGCACGGGTTCTAGAGCCAGACAGGTCAAGGTTTGGATTCTGGCCATCGCAACTTACTAACTGATCTCGGCAAGGGCACAGCCTCTAAGCCTCAATGCTCCCCCTGTAAGATGCAGATACAGAAGCACTTACCTTCCAGGGATATGATTATGGGGATAAATGGGGGCAAAGTGAGTAAAGCACTCAGTTCTTAACAAATACTACACTCCCCCACTCATCTCCCTCCAGTCCCCAGTTTAGAAAATAGACTCGGTGAACCATCTAAACAGACATAGTATATCTAAAGGTATTTCACAAACTTGCTACTTTTAAAGTTGAGTTACCAATTATAATAGAACAGGGAGGAGTTTTATTTTTATTTTAAGCCACACCCTCCTCCCACAGAGCTTAGAGGCCCAAATTTTAAATTGAATGCCACGACTCAGCTTGATCTCTAAGTCAGAACAAATATATTTACAGAAGTATCACCTTTGGAAAAAACACACACCCATCCCCGTGCAGAGAGAGGAGCATTTGCTGGTATTTTATAAGGTGCTATTGCTATTTCTCCCTTGCAGTTTCCCTGGAACAAGAGTTGTCACAGTAACATGAGCCTGCAGGATTATCCACCTTTACTCATGGGCCAAATTCATGACTCCACACTGGCCAGCACCGGGCACCATGCAGAGCCACCCCAGCATTCACACTTGGCCTTTAGAAGGAAAAAGGGGACATCCAGGTGGTGGGAGTGCACATGCATGTAGATATACAAAGAACTAAACAATTTGTCTTAATCAGTGTTATTTCTGCTTCTATAATCAGTGCTTTTACTGGCTGATTAAAAGTAAGTTCTCCTGCCCTCAAGAGGATCAACACTCCCTGCTAGTGCACAATCCTTTGTTTTCAATCTCTAGAAGTATATTTAGCTTTCACATTATCTTATGAGACTAAACCAAGTTTGGCCAATAGTAATGTTGACTAATAGCAATAGTGATATTTGGACTTGAAAGTTTAAGATGTATAGCCACAGAGATACAGAAATGCGTTGGTAATAGAATGACAAAATAATTCATGAATTTGACGCTGTTGGCTTCCAATAAACACTTCACCACCGTTACTTGGATCTGAATTGCTGAAGGCAAAGGATGGCTTATCCCTGCTATGAAATTTAGAGGGAAAATTCGGCTTTTGATGACTTTAGGATAGTGAATACATCTCCCTCTTTCTTCAAAGAGGGACACCTTTAATAAAGCAGTGGGACACCTTTAATAAAAAGGCTACCAAGAAGCACTTCCCAGTGTGCGTTCCAGAGATCACTAATTCAAGAGACCTTAAACAGAGGGGTTTCCAAGTCAAAAGAGTAAAGGGAAAATGCTACATGAGATCTCCCTTTAGGAGAGTCACAGCGCAGTGGCTCCCAACCTCGCGGCACATCAGGACCACCTGCGCATTTCACTGGAATTTTCTAAACTGCTTCCTAACCCCCGCCCCCTCCAAGATGCTGCCTCAGGATGTCAGGCTAAGGCAAAATAATCTGAAGCTTTTAAATGCTCCCCAAGTAATGTGATGTAACCAGTTTGTGATCCACTGCTTATCTCTTTTTTTTTCTCTTGACTATATTTTTATTGATCTTAGAGAAAGAGGGAGAGGGATAGAAACATCAATGAGAGAGAATCATCGATTGGCTTCCTCCTGCACGCCCCCTACTGGGAATCGAGCCCACAACCCAGGTATGTGCCCTGACCAGGGACTGAACTGGTGACCTCTTGGTTCATGGGGTGACGCTCAACCACTGAACCACACCAGCTGGGCCCACTACTTATCTTAAAGGCTCTGAAAAGTCCTTCAGTAAAAAACCTATTTAAGTTGATTGACTTAGAGCTACCCAAACTTGTTCAATCCTGGAAACTTTTTAAAAATAATCCAGAGAGAAGTCCTTTGGGCAATGCTATCCAGAATTCTGAGAACTATCAAGATAACTACTCATCTAGTCTCAGCCACAACCTGCGTTATGCTCCAGTTTCTGGAGATACATTTTCAAACTATGGTTCATGACCCAACTGAGGGTCCTAACCAATATGTTCAAAGAAAAAGTTTAAGGGAATAGGCTAGAAAATACCAGAGCGCAGTACAAACAATAAGAGTAAGTACTGCTTCATGAAATGTGTACCCTGGGACATAATGTAGAACGTATTCTATAGTAAAGGTTGCAACCCAAAGTTGGAAATCCCGTGTGCTAGACAAAGACTAAGGAGCCACGCTGCTGCGGGCAGGTGGCCTCAGCCAAGAGTCTGGTAGCAGGTTTGACATCCTGGGTGGGAACAGGAAAAGGGGCTCGATCAATGCTCCTTATTAGATCGCTGTACCCTAGGATATCAACCAGCTTTTTGAAGTCTGACATTGGAAATGATCAGGAACATATCACAAAGAAATCATAGAACCTTATTCCAAGGGAGTCACTACAGTAAATGATTAAGAAATGACTCAGAACCACCACAGCGTTCACAGAACATTATTCCCCAGGAACCTCTGCCAACTGAGATGGAAAGGAGACCCCAGAAACCCTCACCCATGCTCCCAACCAGTGAAAACCAGTGCAGAAGGAACTGGTTCTACACTATCCACTCAGACACCTAAAGTGACTTTTGCAATATCTTTTGCAATTTTTAGCTCTTTCAACTTAATTTTTAATTGCAGTTATTAACACCCTTTCTAAGTGAGAAATGTACAATTTTTCATAAGGCATTAGGATGGTTTGAAACTAAGGATTTTATCTTCTTGTTTTTCTCCTAACAGCCCTTGGTAGAGGCAGGTTTTGTTCCTGGAAGTCGAGGGAAGGGACAATGAATACAGACATTTCAGTTCGCTCCTCATTCTAACAATTTATACAGCATGATTCTCTCCCAACGGGTCACAATCTCCGGAACCAGCCAGTGAGGGCAGGCCAGGGTGTAACACACACCACCGTTTATGGGGTAATACAGATGCGGGGCTTCATCAATCCTACAACCACCCAATAAGGTGGGCATTATCATCACCTCCCACTTTAGAGATGGAAAAATCTGGGCACAGAGTGTTTAGTAACCTGTTTGGTTCACACAATGGGGACGTGACGGGGGGGG